GGGGGGGGGGGGGGGGGGGGGATCACCCACATCGGAAATTGTGGATCCGAGATTATTATTTTATAGATTTTTGTATGGTGAGCTTGACAAATCACATGGAGCCGGTTTATTAATGTTTAAAATAATTTTTATGGGGGTTTAGTGGACATAAAAAATTATTTAGAATGATTAAGGTCAACTCAGTTATTAAAATCATACAAAAATTAATACTATTTTTTTTTTGGAGGGGAAGGGGGAGGGGTGAAAGAGTCTTGAACCCTTAATCTCAAGAATATAAAATTAATACTATGCGATCATCTATAGTAAAACTCTACCGAACTTAAATCAAGGGGTAATATTACACTAATTAAAAAATAAAAAATAGGAACTAAATAATGTATTTTTGAGAAGGGTTAAATATATTTTTAGTCTTCAAAATATGTGTTTAGTGTGTATTTAATCCTTAAGTTCTTAATTTATATCTACATAGTCAAATTCTAAATTTTTATCATAAAATCATGACAGTTCTGATCATGCGCCAATCAGGTGACTCCTAATCACATGTCCGTTGGAATTACACCCATTCTAATCAGCTTAAACTTTAAATAAGTTTGGTGGTTTAACGAAAAAAAAAAAACTTATCCAATTTCAAGTTTAAATGGGAGGTCACCGGAAAAGTCCTGGAGAGTCTTGACGATGGACTGTGACACAATTACGTCGAAAAAAACTAACAAAAGAACGAATTGCAACATCGCTGAGCTGTTGGTTTTTACGGGGAGTTCCTCCGATTGATGGTTCGTCGCCGGAGATGTGAATCTAGCGTCAACGGCTCGCAAGGTGTTTGAATGAATGCCATAATGTTTGTCGTCTTTCTATTTCCTTCTTATTATAAGATTAAAATTTTAATTTTTGGATTTTTTCCATTTTAGATCTTGAAAGATGTTTCGATTCTCACTTTATACTCAGAAGAATTATTCTTCTCACATTGTACCTTAAGTGTCATAAATTAATTTTAATGTGACTCTCGAACTAATATCTATTTCATATTCCGTTAAAAATTGACGCACATGCTACCAAATGATATGAATTGTGAATTTATATTAGTTCGAGGGCCATGGTAAAACCAATTTATGAGATTCAGATTATAATGTAAGCAAAATAATCTTTTAGGTTACAAAGTGAGAATTAAAACATCTTTTAATGTACAAAATATGAAAAACCCTTAATTATTTGGTATAAGATTGAGTATGATATTGGGTTAGGCCCTGATGGAATTTTTTTTTTTGTTTAAATTTTGTGGTTTTACTTTATTTCTTTATTTTTAGCAATAACTTATTACAAATAATTCAAATTACAGTTTATGCCTAAAAATTATTTTTTAGTACAATATCAAAAATTATCTAAAATTTTTGGGGCTAAAGACGTGTTTACAAAAAATCTTATTAAATTTACTTGCCAAATAATATAAGTGATTACATCAATCAGGCTCCTTCAAAAGAATTTGTGAGACTCACTAATCTGGATTTGGTTTTGTAGTAAATTTGATAAATTTGTAATTTCTTAGGGTCTAATCACGAGGGATTTATCTCTTATGAATATTTTAATTTCGGGGTAAATGGCCTGCCTTTGACTGAACTGGATAGTGAATTAATTAAGATATGCATAAACTAGTTCGAATATCCTTAACCGTTAAACTAAAAAAAAAAAAAATACTCTGTAGGGGAGACAAACCCCCACCACCCACCGCGGGAATTAGCCGGAACTTATGTAGATGTTGGAGAAATCACATGGATCTGAGATTATTATATAGATTTTTGTATGGTTGCAAAATAATTTTTGTAGGGTTTAGTGGATTTAGAAAGATTAGGATTAACTCAAATATGAAAATCATACAAAATTAACAATATGAGAACATCTTTAGTAAAGATCTACAGAACTTAAATAAAGGGGTAATATTAGTGTAATAATGAAAAAAACAAAAAATAGGAACTAAATAATGTGTTTTTGATATAGTAAGTTAGGGTAGAATATATTTTTAGTCTTCAAAGTATGTGTTTAGTGTCTATTTGGTCCCTAAGGTTCTTAATTTATCTACATTCTAATCCCAAACGTCTGTCATAAAATCATAAAACTACTAAGTACATCTATTTTATACCCACCTTCATTAGTAACTAAATTCACCACATACTATTATCTGACCCATTTGCACTACGATCACGTCGCTCTAATTGATCAAGTACGCAGGAACTGGGCAGGAAAGGCAATCAAAGGATGAGCTTGGGGGATTCGCCATAAAGATATGGTACAATATTCAAGAAACAACAGATACTTATGGCTGCTCGGGATCTCGGCCAGCATAGGATTCATTAGCTCAGAATAAGAAAAGGGCAACTGAGCTCGAATTTGTTCAACATGAGATCGTGACTCCCCAGTCAAGGTTGGATACTCACCTGTGACACAGAAAGATAAGGTCATAGGCTGAGTTAGAACCCAACAAACATAGGAGGGCCAAGTCGATAGAAAAAAACTCACCTAGGCGGGTGAACTCACCAAGATGACCACGTCCACCCCCCAAATCGTAAGAACCTTGATCGGCGTCATCATCTAGAGATCAAACTCCTAATCTATGACTCCTTCAGCTTGTGCTCCTTCGCTACCAGTTGAGTCGCAAGACTGTCATAATGGAATTCCATCATCTTCACGCACGTCAGGGACTGACAAAAAGACACGATCAAGGCAACTGGAAGGCAGAAGGATCCGAAAGAGAATAATCTATAAAGAAGGGAGAAAGCAAACAATACCTCAACCATGCCCTGGATGTTGTGTTTGGTCTTCTTGTTAAATCTGACCTACATGGCCCTTTCAGTGTCTGAGGTTGGGACTAGCTCAATTGGGGCATTCACAGTCACCTCAAGGTGGTGAAGAAACCCACTCCCTTGGGTAACCATTTGGAGAGGATCAATTTCCCCCTTATTTTCCTCCGACATAGGTGGCTGGAGAAGAGTGAAGACCACTTCCGAAGGCTTGACTTTTTTGGACGGAGGTTTGCTCTTGGACGACTTGGGGGGCAAGGAAGAGGAGACGTCACCCTCAAGAGAAGCTAAATCCTCACGTTTCTGCTCTAAAAAGGCACATGCTGGCCTCAGTTCTTCCTTGGGGGGAGGCTCAGAAGTCTTTGACGAGTTCTTCCTCTTCCTCGCCTTCTCGTCGGTAAAAGCCACCATGATAGGTTTAGGGTCCATTAGGTTAGGAGAATCTGGAGGCAGTAGCTCCATGACGTGAGCAGGTTGGGCGTCCACCGAGGGTTCGAGCTCGTTCTTCGCAAGGTTTTCCTCGGTCACCAGATCCAAAAAAGACTTTAAACCAAGAGCCTCCGCCTTGCCCACCCTAACAGCCTTCGTAACTTTGAGAACTGGACAAAAGCCTGTAAATCAAACTGAAAGTTAGACACATAAAGATGTATAGCCAGCAATTGGCCTTACGAGTATTCCTTGAGACTCCCTAGAATCGAGGAATGTGAGGAACATCGCCAGGTACTCCTGAAAACTTCCAGGAATCGCCTTAAACAAAAAAAAAAACTTTGGCTTCCACCCTTTGTTAGAAGATGGAAGCCCAAAAATTAGACTCTTCGCTTTCACCCTCTTGGCAAAGTAGAAGAAATCCAATGACGAAGAAGATTTGAGCTAAAAAAGGGAGGCGAATGTACAAAATGTAGGCAGAGAAGCATTCCCACATTCAAACCAGTGGACGAGGAAACTGACCAGCAAACCCCAACATTTAGGAGACACCCGAGTTAGGCAGACATTGTAGAAAATAAGGATGTCTCCGATAAAAGGATGAATGAAAAATCGAAGGCCAACACGAAAAGCCAATGTGAAAAAGCAGGTCATCCCAAGAATAGAAGAATTGCACATTTCATCCTCCCTAGGAGGGTGGAGCAACACGGACTCTGCGAAGGAATACTCTTCCCTCAGATCCTCCAAATCCTCCTCATCGAAATGACTCGAGGTCGATTTGGCACAACACGTCAGGTCAAAAAGGTCTCGACGAGCCTTTTTCTCCTTAGGGGCAGAAGTTGAAGCGCCTTTGGATTGTTTCTTCTTAGAACAACTTAAGGAAATTGGGGGGGGGGGGGGCAAC